TGTCCATCCGTTCATCTCTGCCAGTAACTCAAACTGTGTTCTATATATGCTTCCCACGGTGCTTTCCCATCGTATTCCTATGGCTTCCTTCGTACTGGATCACTCCTAGTACTGACATTCATAAATGGGATGTGACTTCTAACGGGACTGAATATGTCTGCATTAGGTTTTAGCTGCAGGGTCTGGATGGGGCTTGTCGTTGTCTGGGGCTGGTTAAGTCGATGGTCAATGTATCCTCCTTGTGTTAGAGATTACAGCAGTTGTTGGAGGAAAAAGAAAAGAAACAAGAAGAACGAGAAATTAAACAAGAAGAGAGATTACAGCAGTTGTTGAAGGAAAAAGAAAAGAAACAAGAAGAAAGATTACAGCAGTGGCAAGAAAACCTACAACAATGACAGCTCGAACAGCAAAATAAACAAGAGAGATTACAGCAGTTGTTGGAGGAAAAAGAAAATAAACAAGAAGAACGAGAAAAGAAACAAGAAGAGAGACTACAGCAGTGGCAACTGGAACAAGAAAGGAAACAAGAAGTACAAATGGAAAACATTAGTAAATTTAAAAGCGAATTAGATACGTTAAAGGACGATCTATTGTCTTTTCTTCTTGTTTAATTTCTCGTTCTTCTTGTTTCTTTTCTTGTTTATTTTGTTGTTCAAGCTGCCATTGTTGCAGGTTTTCTTGCAACTGCTGTTGTCTCTCTTCTTGTTTCTTTTGCTGTTCTTGTATTGCTGCCATCAAATCTGCTAAACTGTAGTTTGATTTGCCGCTTCTCGTTTCTATCTTCTCTTTTTTCTTCTTTTTTTTATCCCACTTTCTGACACCAACTTATTACGTCTCCGATTGTTAATTGATTTTTCGTAACTTCGTTCCGACGAAACTTTAGCGACACAAGTCCTTTCTTAAATAAAACTGGTTTATTCTTTCCGAATACAACTTTACGATACACTCAACTTCAACAGTCGTGCTATAACAAACTATAATTCACGTCTCACGAGCTCGACTTCAACAATATGTCTCTCTCTCTGACTGCAGTTCATTTACTCATTACCTACACACACTGTCACGTCACGCCGTGACCATCTTATATATACCAGTCCACCCTCAATCTAGCAAATGCTAGAGCACTCCCGAAGGAACAGGATAGTTCTAGAAAACGGGTGGCGTGACACTAGTCACGTGACCTCGCTGACGCAACAATATTGTTAATCCATCCACAGTTTTCTTGTCATTACTGTCAATACAACAGTATAGAAACTGTGTTCAAATAATTTATGGCTTTACTGTCTGATAACACAGGCCTGCGAATTTAAACTTCATAAAAAGTTATTTTGATTTTAATAACTGATTTCTCATAATTCAACTACGCGAATTTTGAAAATAATATTTTTTTCTATCACATAAGTATTTTTTTACAAATTGGGGTGAAAAACTCTTACTTAGATCATGTTATTATTATTTCGTTTACCACAATGAATATTTTTCATTATTACGCTTGTTACCAAAAAAAAGAATAAAAGGAATAAAAAGGAAAGAACACATGATGTCAAACGAATATGCATCCTCATTCATCCCGATTTTTTGGGTGAAATCTACGTCTTTTAGTCTCTACGTGTTTTGGTCTTTCTTTTATGTGTTGCATTATGACGTTTTGTGAAAAATCTGTACGTGACGGATTAAAATAGATATCTTTTTTGGATTCAGCGTACAGAAATTAGTGTAGAACATGTATAAATTTCAAGACAATAAAACCATCACAGGCCTGTGTAATTTTTGAGAAAACATTTCCATAAGATGTATTAGAGATAGAGTAGCAGTATAACTATTTATAGGATCAGTATTTTATTTCTTACGTCGATTCATTTTCTCTAAAAAATATATTTTTTTAACTATTAAATTATTTTTACCAAAATAAATGATGGTTATTTAGTAGAAAACAAAAATATTTTTCACTTTTCTAATTTCCCATGATTCATGGTACACAGGCAAGATGGAGGACTTAGCGGTAGAAGTGTGTGGGGAAAATGGTGCTTATTACAAGGTAATGTTGATGAATGTTAAAATCCGCCTGAATAATAAGTTTATTGTTGTTTTTCGTTGTATAGATTAAAACACTGAATCACAGAAGGTTTATGTTGAGTTAAGGTACCTCTGAACGAAACGACTGAACATATTAATGTTAGTTTACTGTATTTTTACTGTGACTTAGGCTTAACATTAGGCTTATCCAGTGTTACCTTATTACCGGTAGTCTTGTGATGGTATCGGTTTTGTTTTATGAAATTGAGACTAAATTACTTAAACATTTGTAATCAAGTGTTCGAAATTAATAAGGTTGTTTGGTTCGATTTATTACTTTTCATGGTAATCTCTGTGGTTAAAGTTATTTTACAATATTTATTTGAATTATGTTACTAATAATATTAAATTTAAAATAATAGTTGTGTTACTGTGTTAGTGTTACTGAGTCAGTGAGTGTTAGGTTTCTGGTCTATTCACTTTCTATGTTTAGGGGTTCACATGCTGGTAGTGGTACAACATTTTAAGGAATGACCTTTGAACAGGGAGTTGTTTATTTTCTCCCCTCCCCAGTTTCAGTAATTGTACTGTTGTAACTTATATATACCACTGTGTAACCTGTAAGATGTTAAGAATTTGAAATCCCCATATCTACATTACGAAATTTCTAGATTTGTCTAGAATTACTCCTGTGTTCAAGAAATTTCAATAAATAGTGGTGATTCAACATCCCCATTTTTATAGTTTTCTACATCATTTACACCTGAGTTTGACATAGGTCATGTGCTACTGGGGCATACCATGCATCTCCCCCCACATCCTAACATGATTATGCTTTTTTGGAGCTTTAAAGTATTCTGAACATGAATTAAAAACCTGTTACAGTATTAGGACCAGCTATATAGAGGTACCCTTGAACTGCATTTTTGGCCTTGAGCATCAAACTCAAACAATAGTTTTTTGACTGTTAGGGGCCTCAAACTGCTAGAACACACCACAGATAACATCAAATGAAAGCTAATCACATTGATCATCATATTATGTGATCAAATAAAAACTTTTTATTAACTATGTATATTTGACATAAACTTACAACATATTTTTATCAAATGGCATAATTGCATAAAATTGACTTTTGGATGATGATGGAGCCAATATATACACTTTTAGTAATCATCTACAGTAAGTGACTCTAAATTCCACATCCAAGTTATATTAATATAGATCTATTATTTTCATCCATTGAATGATATTGATGATGTTAATCTAATCACAATCATGTTTAAAAAGCCACAACAAAACAACAAACAATATATTTTCAAGTTTTTTACTAATTATACAGTGTATTATCATGAGCTTGAAATGATGTTCACATACAGTATAACCAAAATCAGGTTAAGATTAGTTGTCATTTACTCTCTTTTCAAATGTGATAGTCGTGCATAATCATGATAATGCTTTCTTTTCATTAAAGGAAAGCTGTTATTCTACATCACTTTCTGTTATAAAGCCTGATGAATATACATTATCTATGAACATTTGATCAATATCAGAGTTATCTTCATCACTTGAGGAAGTGCCTCCCTTTCATACTATAGAGGTTCCATAGTTCATCATCTCGCAGTATCCATCCTTGGTCTTGTGCTGCTTAAGGAACATCAGGCTGCAGAATGTGGGCCCTTTACCACCAACTTGATAATTCACTCTTCTTATGTGCTGCTCCAAACTATTTTGATACGGGGTTAGTGTTGTAATATCTATAGTCTTTGGTGGATTCAGTTGCTTGCTTGTGTCACATAATTTGTTCATTTAAATGAATTGAAGATCATTGATATGCTTAACATGTGCTCTCTCATATAAGGCACCTGTGAATGTGTCAAGCTCATCAACAAGTTAATCACTCACATCCCACGATTCTCCCCCCCCCCCCAATTTAGGTAGTGTTGGAATAAACTTGGGCATTTTCAAAGGCTTCACCTTTCCAATTCCTTTGAAAGCACTTGTAGTGTTACATCCTGGATAAGCATGTAATGCCATCAAAGCTGTACAGTGTTGTTGAATATATGCCTGTGCAATCTCAATGATATTGGTGAATCCTTGATTGTTGCCTGTACCAGTGTCAAATTATAGTGTGAGATTCTCTAGTGTTGGGGCTTAGTGCAGCTGAATGAAGAATACATCACTGTCTGGACTCTTCTTTCTAACATACTCATATCTACCCTTAGACTCAACATACTTGCAATACAAGATAACTCTTGAATCCATTTCTTCTTGAGATGAACTTAGAATCTCGATCTCGCTTGTAGATGTTGTGTGGCCATCATTAGATGTCAGCAGGTATGCTAATTCTTTGCATATGAAAGTGACCTTTCACCCTTGAAATTTGCTGGTATATGTTACTGTGAGTTTGTCTTTCACACCTCTCCTTTGTTGTTCCATCGATTTCATTTAATTTTTCTTGTAATTGTTGGTATTAAATACAATGTCACTGGACTTTGGCATCATCTCAAAACCGTGCTGTGGATCTGGCTGAAGTTACTCGGTACTTCTTTCAAATAGTGGAAGTATGCATTACTATCTTGAATTACCAGAATGTTACTTGGTGGTGTGGGATCTGCATTTTCACAATCCCTTGTTAGGTACTGAAATGCTTTGCATTTGTTTGTTTTGGCTAAAACTTCTTCAACAGTTCTAGTACTGTATGGCACAGGAGTTAGCAGGTAAGTCATCAACTCTCTCAAGTTCAGTTGCAACCCATGGTTTGTGATTTTAAGAATATTTGAAATTTAATATTTCCTTGTTGCTTGTATTGGATTTCTTTGTTGTTGCTTTTGCTTTTTTGTGCATATCATCCAAAGTTTTAAAATAGAGCCTTTATATTGTCTCAAAGAAGTCTCTCTCAGTTACCAGTTGATCCTTGATGAAGGAAACTTTTCCTTTTTCTGTATTATCTAGTTTACAGAAGGAAAGACTATCTTTATATTTCATGTGGCTCTCTCAAGTTTGTTTTTCAGTTTCATTTCTAGGAAGTCTGGATTTGAGAACATGCTCAGCTGTAAGCTTGAAATATAGATCCTGCATATTTCACTAAGTTGAACTATTTTGTGTTGGACCATGATATTGTTTTTGATGAGTAATGCATACATCATTATATGCATTACTATGGGCTTTTATGAACTTTGCCTGTTTCACTGTTTCTTCTTCATTGGTACTTCTCCATTTTTTAGGTTTTGCAAATATTTTGTTCTACATGACTTGTGACATTTGGCCTCACATGCAAAGAGGTCGTGTCCCTTATCCTTGTTGAAAGATTCCCATCACCCAATCTTTCTGCTGTGTCTAGAACTGTTCACCATCTACAAATTCAAAGTGAGGCATCCCCTCTGTTGTACGTGTTCTTTTAACTGTCACTTTTTTTGGCCTTCAGGATTTTAGAAAATTCAATCAGGTTTGAAAAGCAGTTTGTCCCTGCCAGTTGAATATGTGGTGCTATTTTGTGAAATGTATATAGTCTCTGTTGGAATGGATCTGGTTGTTAGGCGGTTAAGATTCATAGTGAACTGTCAGCAACATTCTCTGTAATAACCATGATGTTCCTTCATATTATCAGGTATGAGTGCACAAATGTCTGCCATTCTATGAACTGAGTTGAGCAGCAAGGACGGATTCCTTCTCCAAACATCTTGCAGTCTGTTAAGTCTACTTTGTCCATTGCTACACTTAGAGAGGAGTTGCAGTGGTCCATACTGTAAGCCTGAACTATTGATTATACAAGTTTGTTGCTTTTGTGGGCCTTCACTCTCATCTTGTATATGCTCTAGGGTGGGAATTGTTTCTCATTGGGTACCTGTGACTGTGACGTCAAGTCTGCAAAGAAAAAACAAATTGTATATTATATTGTCAATCTGGACCTTGAGTATGAATTTAATAGTATGATAGATATAAATTAAAGATTTACTTAATATAGTCTAACATGTCACTTCAAAACTGGGATATTGAGTCTGCAAAACTTGTAATCCCATACATTATACTGAAAAATATACTTATCTGACATATTCCGTGTGTTGATGCAAGCAATATATACATTCTTAAATAAAATGGTTTTTAATTTCAAGTGTTATACTTCAAAATGTCATCCAAGATATACTAAAATAAAATATCTATAAAATGGTTTAATTAGTTGAGAAGAACAAACGAATTTTTGGGGAAAAAGGAGTCACAGCAGCAACTTCTCATGGTTATGACTATCACATCTTTCTATATATTGGGTGAACAATACAAAATTGATGCTAATAGTGCACTGTTTGAAGAAAATGTACTTGTTATGCATTTTAAATATTTTAAATAATAAATGCATTCTAATGCCAGAAGACATGAAAAAAATTACTTCTTGAATGATGTCCAAAACATTAGTTATGCTGTGACAACTACGTCAGAGTTTTAAAATCAATCACTGATGAAATAAAAGCCATATTTGATCACATAATATGATGAAAAATGTGATGAGTTTTCATTTTATATGTTACTTGTGATGTGTTCTAGCAGTTTTGGGCCTCTAACACAATCCTTCGGATTTGAAGTGAGCGATTGTGCTAGTGCACGATGATGCATGTAAATTTTGTTTCAGGTGTGTTATTAATTGCTCATGTAAATTTGTCATTATTGCTCGCACAAAAAACCTATTTAGAGCACGGGATGAGTGGTATTTTCATAACAAGACTAATATAGCTGTTTACTATGCGGTACTGATGATCCATGACATGGGCATTGTTGTTGATCACACGTTAATCCAAGTTGAGGACTACAGTCTGCTTTTGTGGATTGCTGTTTATGTAAAACAATGGTGGTAACTGGTATGAGCATATGCGTTTTTAAAGTGGGAATTGCCGGACACTGTTGGCTATGAGACAAAAAAAGAATATTGAACTGAGTTGGTTGTACGAATGAGTACCATATTGCTGATATGTTGATATTGTACTAGCAGACGACAGATTATCAAAAATTATTGACAAGTTCAACATA